CGGTATTTGTGTGGGTGGGGGGGGGGGGGGGGGGAGCAATGCTGGGGAAATGCCAGAGTTTTGAGGGGAATGGCTCACAGCAACTTATTGATCAACCAAAATAAGAAAAGGAAAAAAAGAAGTTCATTTTTGAACTGTGAAGTTAGTTTAAAGTTTTGAATTATGACCTCATTTTAAAATTTGTGAACTTAACTTTTAATGAGTTTGCGTATAAAAATGAACTTTCCCAACACTGTCAACATATTATTTGATATGAGAGCAAAAGAATTGGAACACTTTGTCATAAAGGAGCATAAACCTTCCTAGAGGGTTGTCTGTGTGTGTTTGATTTATGTTTGGCCTTTTCATAGATGCATTGCCTTTGTGTATTAAGAACAAAATACATATTATGATTATTAATGTTATTATTAGCAACGGTGAAGGTCAAGAGCACAGTGGTTATTGAGGGACTGGGTAACCCCAGTTATAGCGGTGGTGAAGAGGAAGTTGTGCTGGTCTTAGAGAAGGATGAGGAGGAAGATGAGATGGTCTTCTTGGGAGACAAGGAAGAGAATGAAGCAGGAACCAGCAATAGCCACACCGGTAGAGATGTGTGTGAGGCTGCTGCACTGCAGGCAATGTCTTATGCAAACAAATCATGTTTCTCCATAGCTCAATAAAGGAAGTGATTGATGCATATGAAACCTAAGCCTAAAAAAAAACCAAACACTGTTTCAATGCCATGCAAAATCCTAAGCCACCACTAACTTTGAAGTTTAATGACCACAGGTGAAATGCCATTTTGACATAAATACAGGAAATAGGAGGACTAATGCAAGTTTATAGAAATAACTGTCACTAATTAGTCAATGTCTAAGAAATAACTGTTGACATTTGGATTTGAATAAGGGGACAGATAGAGGGACATAATTCACAACTCAAGCCGAAGATCACAATGGTTATACCACGAACCAGGAAGTAGCCTGCAATGAACTAACAAATAGATGGACAAATCAGCACTAATGTGTAGTTTCAGGATTTTAACTTGTTTTTGACCTTGGTGGAAGTTTGCACTGGAGGGAGACATGGAAGTGGATGTTCACTCTCTTCCCATCACAGTCCCACAGAAAAAAAAATCCTGCTCCCAGTGAAATTAACTCCCACTCCCGTCCTGCTCCGCTGCAGAATGACTCCCACTTCCATTTGGGAGGTCAGCTACATTAAAAATGTGTATCTGTCTGAGTTTTTTTGGTGTCAGGTTTCGGGAAAGCTCTGGACAAAATTGGACTCCAGAAAACGTGAACTTGGGAAGAATTGACAAAAATGGTTTATTAACAAAAATAGGTCACAAGACTTACACAGTTCAATAAAGAACGCTGGTACAACACCAGGAAAACGAAAGAACCCAAAACAGGAATCCTTAGTTAGCTAATTACATTGGCAGCAGGTGTGCAAGATGGAAGGAAGGCCCTCCTCTGCCACCTGCTGGAGAGACACAAAAACAGGATGAAGACATTTGGTCGTCCTACCGGATAATCCAACTCCCATCTCGTCCTGTGAACCATCCTGTACCGTCCCAATACCATGATGAAAGGTAAAGCTGACTGACAGCCATCCCGTGGAAATCCCACGGGATTCCCCCAAAAATGTCAACTTCTTGTTTGCACTCCCGTAAGAGGCTTTCAAATTATAAACTGCCATTGCAACATTGCTACAACAACAAATGAAGTGGCGGGCTGAAACTTTTGCAGAGTGCTTTAAATCACGGACAAGTACCAACAAATTCCATTGGTGCCCTCAAAACACCAGCACCCTCAAAGTTGCATATGAACCAGTTGACTGAGTCGAGGCCATCTGTGGTCGAAAACCTTGAATAGAGAGAGGAATCAATGCTGTGTTTGTCCACTCCTTTGCTCATTAAGGATAAACTATTCATGCCGGGCCCTGTGGATGACAAAGAAAGCTCACAACTGCTCATTTTCACCAAGCGGAGGCTAGTTTTTTCCTCTTCCTCAAAGGCCTCCCTTCATTAGAATTCTCCTCTTAGAAACCTAAGTCAGTTAGCCCAGCGAGGGGAAAATCTAAGTAGGAACCTTTCTATTGCCAGACTGGCCCACAGGGAGGACCAACTTGCTTACCATATGTCCAGCATTTAAATTCGACCATTTCGATTTGCGGAGAAAGAAAGGCACCTCCCTATCAATTCATCAACTTGAATGATTCAGATTTTGCCTGCTGGTGGCCGCAGTTACGTCATTGGCAGCTCATAAATGGGTCATTCCACAATTGGAGGGCATTTTGCCTTCAAAGTTTTTGAAAAATAAACCTTCACTTTTCTGATTTGATGCTACACATCAAAATCTTGATTAGCTCATCTTATGTCCATTGTACAATTTTAATTACATGATTTATTTGGTGTTTACAATACCTGACACTGTAATCACACTAACAGGGATGCTAATCTGGATGAATGTTTGCTTTCAGGGGTAGAACATGGCTTTTTAGCTAGCTGTTACTGCTGACCAAGAGCACAAGCCCACTCATATAAATCAGTAAAGATTGAAGTATTTTTAAAAAATAATTGTCTTATTCTAATCATATGCACACCAGGGTTGCATGCGATACAGTGAGCTATTCAATCAAGGTTAACTCTATCAACATGTGAAAAATAGAAGATGGGGCATACTTTTGCTCTATCCATGCTTTTGCAAAACCGTTTGATGGTGTCGAGTCAGGCGAATCATGTGATTCAATGCTTTCCTGTTCTACCATGCTAAAAAGGTCATGGTAACAGGGTTAATAGTTATTATTTGAAATACGATTTTTATTAAAACAAATATTTCCACAGTCGCAAGCAATATTTATACATCTAGAGAGCATGCAAGCTCCTCACAGGGAGGCGGGAGCTGGGATCGAACCCACGACCTCTGCACTGTGATGGCTGACGCTAACCACCAGGGTACACACACGCACACACGCACACACGCACACAAATGAAATTACAATTTCGTTTTAGCTATTTGGGATTGAATTCGGTTATGGGGGGACTTTTTGGAGGTAATCCAAACGTGTTTGGTATTTTAAATTTTTGTTTTTGTTTTGTTATTAAGATGTGGTCTCAGGACAAGTACATTTTTCTCAATTACTTAATGTGTTAGTATTGTGTATGTGGATTATTTAAAATTGGATGGGTGGGATGGAAAATGTCCTCCAATTCTGGAATGACCCAAATACTGTACAGGTTGAGAGTATTGACAGACGGACAAACTTCCTTTTTTGCACTCTGCTCTATCACCGGCCGCTTGTGAGATTAGAGAGAGAGAGAGAGAGAGAGAGAGAGAGAGAGAGAGAGAGAGAGAGAGAGAGAGAGAATCCTTTCCCCGCGCGTTGTCACTGGGACATCCGCGCCTATGTGGTACTGAGCGAGAGCAAGCATGACTGATTTTACGGAATGATCACACCGATTGCCATCCGCCATATCGATGATTGTGGTGGTGTTATCGATCGAGATTCCTCACCAACGTGATTCTCTTCTTTTCCGCCGTTTGTTGACAGACTGCAGATGTGCACGATTGGGCAATATGTAATTTTTGACACAACGTTGCTATTTTTGGAGAATTGCACTACTTTTGGGAGTTAATACTTGATTTCTCATTCTCTGACTCGTTTTTTTTAACGGCGCTCTATTCTGCGGCCGAGCTGGGCATTGATTCCCCCCAATGGCTGTGTGAATTGACAGAGTGAAGATCCCAAACATTCGGAAGCTGTGTGAAGGTGAGTTCAGCATTTTTTTGGAACTCATAGCCTCCCAAAATTGAAGTTGAATTTATTTACCGATAACTGCCTGCGCGTTTTGTCATATTAAAGTCCATCAATATACTGCAGTAAACCCGTTACGCGTCAAATCAACTGGCTGCATTTTTTTTTTTTGCCTAATATACAGTACGTAGACAATTCGTGACTGCCGAATAGCCATATGCCCCATTCTCGTCTTCAAACGTCAGTGTCGTTTTAAATGCATTAAGTCTGTTAGACTGGGGAGTGCCTGACGCGATTTGTTCATAATGTTATTTGTTTGGACATTTCCCGGTGCGTCACGACTGCTGCCGGTGTGCTTCCATGTGCATTTGCCCACAGCCCACACGCAAGCAAAGCGAGGACAATCACGGATTGCCATTCCACGTTTTTATTTGTGCGAGGTGTCTGGCGGTCATCCCTCAGCATGCTTTACGCCAGTTTGAGTGTCGCCCTCCGCTCTTGCTTTCCGTGGTCTGTTTGGGTAAATGCTCGTTTATGATCGCAAACATGGATGTGGATATCTCATCTGCGGCAGAGACGTGTGCACAACGTTGATGTGTGACGTGGGTAACCTGCAGCTCAATTAGCAAAAGTATGCGGTACCGTATTTGAGTAAAAGAAGCAGAGCATCCCTTCACCTGTAGGGTCGGATGTACTTACGGTTCGACAGCCCGTCATTACTAACCTCTCTCATGCGGGAATGAACTAAAGATCCTGTAGACCAGGGGTCCCCAACCGCCGGTCCGCGGACCGGTACCGGTCCACAGGGCATTTGGTCCCGGGCTGCTCAGAAAGAACTTGCCTAAATTCCGTTTTATTTACAGTGTATTTCGGAATACGAAAGATGTTTTATTTTGAAAAATTACCGGATTATCCGTTACATCCGTCTGTGTCACGCTTGACACATGTCAAGCCACGCTTCTCCGTCACATGACCGATGACGCTAAAAACAAAACGCTGGAGCTCGCAAAATGAGAAAAAAAATGCTGGAGATCGCAAATGATGACGGCCTTAAAAGTACGTTCGAGACAACTGGATTAAAGTTATGGCTGAATACTCTGAGATTGCCACAATAGCACTGTTGCTATTTCCGACATCCTACCTGTGTGAGGCGGGGGTTTTCTGCAGCAACGGCGACTAAAACAAAATTACGAAGTAGACTGGACATAAACCACACACTTGGAAGTGTCATTGTCTCCTATTACCCCGAGATGGGATTGTCTGGTTGCAGAAAATCAAGCTCCGGGCTGTGGTGAGTCGTCATTTTCATGCACTTTGAATTTGTGTTGTATCGTATTTTGAAGGCATTAAACATTACCATAGCGATCAGAGTGTTGCGGCCAGATTAGACGCTCCTTGTGTTTATTATTATATTTCGAAAACACCAAGGTTTTCATGCAGCTCATACCATATTATTTTGTTGTATTATTTCCGCCACACCTTAAATGCCGGTCCCTGAAAATATTGTCTGACATAAACCGGTCCGTGGGGCAAAAAAGGTTGGGGACCCCTGCTGTAGACTCTACAACAGGGGTGTCAAACTCATTTTTGTAGCAGGCCACATTATAATTACCTTGGAGGGCCGTTATGACTGTGAATATATCAGGAAGTCAAGAATAAATGTTTATTCAAAGATAGTTTAAGTTACTGTAATGAGGGTTTTGGTAACAAGAAAATTTACAATAGCTCTCTTATATATTACATATGAGAATTAGAAATTTTGGTAAAAATTTTAGCAAGCATCATAGAAGTCAACATGTTTGATTTGCTTTCGTGGGCCACATCAAATGATGTGGCGGGCCAGATCTGGCCCCTGGGTCTTGAGTTTGACACCCATGCTCTACAACGATCAATGGTATCTGATTCCCTGGAAAAATGTTGAAGCGGAATAATGGCCTTGTCAAAGTATATGACTTTTATGTCATCACGACAGTCAGCTGCATTGTCAAACTGCCAGATAAAAAAATAAATATTGGTCTGTGTCTCCGACCGGGCGAGATGTTGAGATGTCGCACTCATTACAAGTCCGTCACTGACCAGGCTGTGCCCGATCAGCACATGCTTGGGTCAAAATTCAGTCTCTCAGTGCAGCTACGTTGGGGAGGCAGGTTAAGCAGTTGTCAAAGTCATGTCGACAGAGGCATAATGTGCACGTGCCTTGTTTCTATGGATCAGAAAAAGCAGACAGTGTGGACCAATTCGTTCCTGGGGAGAGGGTGGTATGGACTGTCTTTTGAGGTGTATAATTTCTTTAATGACAGCATGCTTGCTCATAAGCTACTATCTTTGCAGTTAGCAAAGGTAGCATGAGTTGAAATGCTACAAATTCTTTCCAATATATCCCTTTTTGTTCAAATCACTTTTTAAATACTGTACACCACATTGTGATTGTGTCTCGTCATAAGTAGGAGGGTACTGTCTTTCTTTTGGTCAATGCAGAAGATTCAATCGAAGGACAATGTAGGACATGTCACACTATGCGGCAAGGCGAACAAAAATTATGACATGCCAGACTTTCGTCATCGTGGTCGTGAAGCGTCCCAGTTGAGTTTGTCACACTACACATGGCTACGATGCGTCAAGACTCAAACTCAAAATCAGCCTTGAGCCACTACATTTGTCCGTGGCAGGTCTGTCAGCTCAAAATTCGACTACTGTATTTTCCACACTAAAAGGCACACTGGATTATGAGGCGCACCTTCAATGAATGGCCTATTTTGTAATTTTTTTCATATACAGTGAAACTCCTCTACAACGAAATCATGTTTGCAGCAAGAAATTTTTCACATCAGGGGGTTTTTCACTGAAGCAAATTTGATCTCAGATGTAAATACACACACAAAAACGTATATGTGTACTCTTTATTTTATATTCCAATACTGTACGCAGTGCAGAAATATGAGCATACACTTATTTGATATTGTTTAACATTAACATACAGTACTGTCACACCTTATGAATATGTAATCGATAAATTTAATGATACATAACTAAGAAAAAAACCCACCCAAAAATCAGTTACATTTTTTGGTTGTGCTGTAAAGCAACATTCGAATTTTCTATCCATTCGTGAAAAAAAAAAGATAGAAAATAATAGTATTGATTTCTTAATTTTTCGCTAATTTAATGTCATGGATCTGTTTGTGACCAACAGGTGGCACTGTAGAGCTCCGCCTGCAGCTGCACACCTGTTGGTCATTGTCATTAGTTGCCAATTTAAAAGACTTAATGCCCGACCACTCAGTGTTGGGTCATTGTTGCTGTGTGCACGTGTCATGTTTTGTTTTCTGTCTTAGGTTTTTGCTACTTTGATTTCTTGTGATTTTGCTGGACTTTATTTGAGTGAGTTTTTGAGTTAGTTTCGCCACTGTATTCCTGCTCCTCCCTGCTTTTTGGGGTCCTCCAACTACCACCTCGCGAAACGTGACATTTAAATTGGAATTTAAATCAATGATTTTTAAAATCAAACAATCCTAATCCCAAAGACACTTCATACTGTACTGTATAGCCAATGTACAGATGTGCACAAAGATAAAAAAAGGGAAAGAAATTGCGAAATTTATGATCAGCATTTGCTTTCACTTACATCAATTTCTTGGTTAATGTCTTTTATTTTGCTTCCTCTGTCTTTCATTTTGATCACTTTTACCCTCTCTTCCAGCATCAGAGCTCTTCTTGTTTTACCTGCTTGGCATCCAAAAATCCGTTTTGTAGCCATTTTAGCAATGCAATGAAACACTTCCTGGACTACTGTGCATGTGTAAACCAGTGTGTTACGATCCGAAGCAGTCGGAGTCGCTGTTGGCTGAGGTTGGATTAGACTTTTGCGGAAGGCTTGTTTTCGTTGTAGGGAATCTTGTCGCGAGGCAAGAGAGATTTTGTATAACAGAACACGGGGATTTTTCGTTGCAGGGGGAGCAGAAAAGTGGGAATGGCTTTCATGCATGAAATTTTTTTCACACTAGGGGGTATTTTCGCCCATGTAGGTTTCGTTGTAGAGGAGTTTCACTGTGTTGGACCTACTGGATTATTAGACGCAATCTACAATGCATCCACTAGATGGAGCTACGCTCAAGGAAATGCACACAGGAGGATCAGATGTCAGTAAAATGTAGGAGACTGGACTGTCTCAGAAGTGTTTGTTATTTATTCCTCTGTTGTGTATTCGCTAATGAGGAAATCACAAAATTAATTCTGTAGGGGGCTCTAGAATTTATTTTGTGATTTCCTCGCTTGATTTTCTGTTTTGATGCTTTATTTTCAATAGTCGTAGTTTCATTGAAGTAATCGTTAATTTACGTTTATCGGAGGCGATCATGAACGCCTCTCAAGTCAAACGGAAGAGAAGGCACGGAGACGGACAAAGACGTACCTGTATTTGTTGAGACTGTGAAAACCATTAATAAAGGGTACGTTTTAAAAAACTAACACCACAGCTCTCCTTTTTTTCGGAGCTGCAACAAAAACTTAGTTCATAAAACAAGCGACACAGTTCACTGAACCAATAGCAAGTTATAACATTGACTCGTTAACGTTGAATTCTCTTGCCCCTATTCTATTTCCGTGTTCTATTGCATGTCTCCAGCAAGGACCCATTTTGGGGTCGACATATTACCGTAATGACCATACACAAGGCGCACTGTGAGCTTTTAAGAAAATGGAAGACTTTTAGGTGCGCCTTTTAGCGTGGAAAATACGGTACATTTGTGTCATCTGACGTTGGCACAACAATAAAAAATAATAACATAGCCGTATGCTGCTATATTGGACACTTTTGACCCGTTCACGTAGTCACTGTGATGTCACACATGCTGCAAAACGCTACGTATGGCCGCAAGTGCTGCCTCATCGATATGCATGTACAAAATGTTACACCTTTAGATCGAATGTTTTCAGACTTTGATTATCACAAGAGTACACATGTGCACATAAATTTGGGCGATAATCGGTCACGCTTTTTTATACATTAAATGCCG